AGACTCATACATGAAATAAAACACAACTCGACTATTATTTCAAATAATAAGTTCTAAGACATGCAGAATAGACGACGTTCGGTGACGCTTCACAGTACTGCCTAGAAGTTAGGCGCCACCGGTTATTCTATCGCACCTCTAGTCTTGACTGAGACCAACTGAGACACAACGAATGATAAGCACAACGAAACTTAGTAAAGCAAACTTAAATGGAATAAACTTTTCTAAACAACGCTTTCTGTTACGTTTGCCCGTAACAATAGAGAATATCACTCAAATAACGGTACCAGATCCCTTGCTGAAATTTAGAATCGACCTTCCCAGGCTAATACGAGAACAAATTCAGAGCCCGAGTAGAGAGCTTTATTCACGTGAGCCACGTGCAGAGAAGAAGTGAAATCGAAAGTAAATTGAAAACTATCTCAAGTCAAGGTTGACCTTGACTTGATAAAAGCGTAACAAAACAAATGTTAATAAGTTAATGTAAATAAAATCAGAAACCAATCTTGGGGAATCGTGGATCCCCAACACTTTCTTAATCATGGAAGCTGCAAGCTTTGCTCATTTAAAACGCAATCCTGCGCAGACCAGCATGAAAGACTATTTCTCAACGTTGCACTCAACTCTCAAGCACCTTCTGCATCTCTCCATCAAAATAAACACAGTTGTTGGCAATCGGCTTGTGAGCCGATCTGTTCTTGTAACCTCATTCCTGTGATGTAGATTAGATCGATATGTTGTCTAACACTCGTTCACGGACTGTCATTGCCTCCGTGTCCTTTTCAAATGTTAGTCACGAATTTAACAGAAATGCGAAGTAAGCATTTTAGTAATTGCATCTGGAAAGTTGGGCGTTTTCTGTGGTCTAGTAGACCACCTGGACTTCTCTTAAGATCAGTTAACTGCCAAGTTAGAACGAAAGCCAGATGACAAAGATACACATCGTCTAACCGACCAAGACTCCTTTGCAACTGGGAAATCCGTCGTGATCAGCCTACTTACGAATAAACCTTATTATAGCAGACACATTTCACGCAATTAACACTAACACTAAAAGCATTTGGTCAGCACTAGACAATCATGCCTATTCGACTTGACACAGCATCAACTCCCCTCACTCGTGTTTACACGTTGACCAAGATGCCGTAAACCGAAGTTCCTTGAAGATTAGTAACATCCTGAAAATCGTCCATTTAGAGAGCAGACCCTCATTTGCATTTTGAAGACCTCCTTTACTCTGAGAGTGAGTGCTCAAATAACATCGCCGTAATCCACTCCCTTCCAAACAACATTCAACATACACTAATAGAGGTGATATCACACCGTCAAAAGTCAAGATTTTTGCCATGTAGCGAACCAATCAAAGAGATAATGGCTCCACTATGGAATAATCTACCAAGTATTGACGAGATAGATTCTTAATCTTCCATTATCACCTCTCATTTTCCCTTTATTGTATTCATTCATTTGAACATTCTGTCCAAGCATTCCTGTTCAGTCATTCACTTGCTCACACGTGTTTCACCTCAGACCTGAAGTTTGTTCGCAAACTTGAACTTGACCTCGCCATCATCTACAATTACTGCCACAACACTACCAGTTGAACATAACGGAAGCAACGGTACTCTATATCTCACGATTATCAACTCAAAGACGAGACATTGAATGGGACGTGCGAAAAGCCACTACCGTGGTTCTGTCCATGTCCTGGCCGCAACCCCTTCATCCATTCTGTCCAACCCTAACATGGCATAACAAATTACCTCAATTCAGTCCACCTTGCTTGGACATGTACATAAGCACACAGAGACACTACAATATCTGCTAACACGCCAACAATATTTGCTTCCTCCTTTAAGGTCTACTGTCGCCTTCACTTCGCGTGCTCAACGACGGCGAAATGCCTCTACTCTCAATGTAAGATATCGGACATAACTTTTACTGTGTGAAATCGGGGTTAGAGTTCGTGTATAAAATTGTAGGGCGAAGTGACTTCTAAATCGTTGTTCTCTTAATCTGAGTTCCAGATAATTTTTTTTTAATATCGTGTTTGGAATAATATACAACACTTATTTCAAAGATAAATTCCATGAATGATGCTACTATTTAGTGATTATTTGACTTATGCACATTGAAAGTCAATTAAACCCCCATTTTTGTTTAATGTAATGACTGTCCTTGATGAGGCCTTTAAAATTGTGCTGTACATAGGTCTTGCTTGTATTTTGGGTTGCTCATTGTGATTTTTACTCTGCTTCCGCCAGTGCCCAAAATTTTTAACAGCAAACTAGCCCTTCCATTTTTTGAAAAGTACGGTGAGTCCTATTCGATTCAGTAGTAAGGATTGTGAACTAATAATCCATGGGGTCTCGTCCATCGTTGCAATCTTTGCTTTGTTTAATTTGTCGTGCATATTCCTGGCCGTCGTCTTGTGTGGTATGTTTAATAAATGTAGAAAGTGTACATTTGTAATATTTTATTACTTATTTGTATGATCCTATCGAATTTCTGGTTCAGTGATTTACTTTAACAAATTGTCTTATTTTTCAACAAAATTTCATTTTTGGAAAAAAATAGCATTCTTACTTTGGTCGTTAGTTTGCAGCATCTCTTGTTTATTAAGATTTTTATCATAACTTGCTGACAGTACTCAGAAACTAATTTCGTCCTTACCTGACATAAATAATTTGCCTCTCCTCTTTCCGGCATGGGGTTTCTGGTGCATTGACCTTGACATTCGATTTACTCTCAACCTAAACACATCTTAAGTGTTATTAATTTACTGTTGATTCCTTTTTAATGATTGTCTGTCATGTTTTTGTTCTAGTCCATACTACGTCTATGTCGAACCGATCAAAGACATGCACAGCCCTAATTGGATCTAAGCCAAGACAAGAAGATAAGCATCAATCACAGTCTTATTCTCTTTGCTCTCGCCTTTTTTCTTTTCGGCCGCGTCCGAATTTTATGGAAGTACATCACTCTATCCCTCAGCCCCGTCTTTTACCACCATCCCCAGAACGCTCTAGTCAGTGGCTTTGCGTAGACACCGAGACAATGGCATCCACTACGGGCATTGATGTGGCAACAGATTCACCCACCACAGTGACCTTGCGACGCGGACACACTGCTACCAGAGATTACCGTCCTCCCACTGTGCGCAGCCTTGTTTTGTCTGAAATTTTTCTCCCTCTCGAGAATGCTACCCAGAACAGTGGTCGTTCCAGGAAGGCTTGTCGATCATGCCTCCTTACGACTCTCCATACGGACGATCCAATAACCTCTCTTCCCCCTTCATCCCCATCGAGGGATGCAAAAAATAATTCTCTACGCCGTTCGAATTCTCTCATTACCAAACTGCAATCCATTTTCCACACCAAGAAGCCGGGCACACCAAATCTAAATGTCGAGAAACCACCACTCACTCCGAAAATTCAGGCTCCTTTATTACCGTATGGTGCATCTGTATCGTTTCTTCGTGGACGTTCACAGTCAACTGCTTCAAGAATTCACTTAAGATCGAAAAGAAATGGTTCTGCTGCCGCGTCTGCCCAAGCCTCGCCCGCTAGAAGTGTCGGCTGTGAACCTTTGATATGTACGATGCCTTCTCCAAAATTTCCGACAATGTCAACAAATTCACCATTAATTAGCTTCAGTCCCTCTCCTGCGCCACTACAAAGGCCAAAGAATTTACCGATCGTACAGCGCCGCCAACACAAACCAACTTTAACTTCAGTGTCCGGAACTGGTGTACGACAAAAGCACTTCTCTGCCCATCTCTTCGATGAGGTTACACAACATTTACCTAGTCAAACATCCTCGGGTAAGTTTCCTTTCGCTATGCTAGTTGTCGTTTTTTATTACGAATTAGCGTCCAAAAGCAGAAGCAAAAGCGAGTTCTGTTAATTTTCCTCTAACGGTTGGCGTGAGTGTCAATGTGGGACTGTTACAATTGCTACTTCCCTCTTATTTGGCCTACGATTAATTCTGTAGTGTTTTTGTCGTCTTCGATAACTCCAGTGTCTCTTTTCTCTGAAATGCTACATTCACGAATTTCCTTAAGTAAACGCAATTTTATGCTCCAACGTATAGACAACTCTGCCGGTAACAGTTGTTTATCCAGAGAGTTTTTGCAAGGGATGATGCCCAAGCACACGTTTGACTCATTCTTCTTTCGTTGAATGATTCACGTCCGTTGTGTTGAGTCAGCCGTGCGGCCTGTTCGGAGAAGGCGCACGCACCCACTGGCCTTTTGGTAATTTGCGCTAACCGTCTCACTTTATGCCTGCATAACTTTCCACGTATTCGTTTCCAAACGGTGTTGCTCAGTCTTTCGTTCGCACACCTACATTACTCCGATGCATGCATTCTGTTTACCAAATATTCTAATGCCATGCGTGCGTGCTGGATGTGACGTTAAAGGACCAGCAATTGTGCCCCATCTTCATACCAATGGACAAAGAAAAGGCCATTGTGACCGCAAAAGACTTGAACTACGTAAAGTTGGCATTGCGTTATTGGTTTGCACTGCTTTCCCCGGTTTCGCATTGACCCAACGGCTTGCCATCGAAACCGTCCCAGAAATACTAAATGACGGCTAGCCCAAATCACTGCACTCAGGTCAAAACTGAGTCATTCTGAGCAAAAACCTCAAAACCTCAACATGCATTTCAACCCAAACTCTAGTGCCGTGTGACACAGACTTCCTCCTACCAATGCAATTTCCCTCATTATTTTCAAAATATTTGTGTGCCAGACAGAAGTCACTACTACTTTTGACAGTACAGTTCTATTAACAGAGTTATCTGTTCTGATTGTGTATTTAGCTGAGTGATTCTCTGCACTACTCACAAATGTATTGGTGACTAGTAACACTGGTTTGTAGTGAACCACGTTACTCCTGCTAGTCCAATCGTTACATCTCGTCTGATCTTCTGTGCGGACGAGATCGGCAGGGTGCTAAAATAACAGCGCAGCATGTACACTTTTTGGGGCATTAGTTGTGGAAATACAAATTTTCCACAAGTAAATATTCAACCTTCTTCGAGGGTTTGATGGTTTAGCCATGTGACTGCGCTAAAAGAAAACGCAATCTTGGCGAAAACTTGTTTGGCTTTGTTTAGCGGCGAATCACACCGATAAAAGTGTCAACCGTGGTGATGGTAGGAGGTCTCAGCTTTGCTTGTAGTGTAATTCAGCATCGAAAGGTGATGGAATGAGCATGTGGGCATTATGAAAGTTGGGACGATGACTTTCCAACCTCCCACAATTCTCCAACCTGAAAACAATTGAAACGAAAATTTGCCAAATGATTTTCCATCCGTATAGAGGTGGTTGCCTTAGACAAAACAGGGATTCCAATTGACTTTCAATGCGTATAAGTCGATTTATCACTAAATAGTAACATCATTCACTGGAGGTGCGACAGAATAACCGGTGGCGCCTAACTTCTAGGCAGTACTGTGAAGCGTCACTGAACGTCGTCTATTCTGCATGTCTTAGAACTTATTATTTGAAATAATAGTCGAGTTGTGTTTTATTTCATGTATGAGTCTGCTTTCGGAATAGTTGAGTTTTTAACTTGGTAGTTCTTCTTGTTTTTCGGTAACTTGAGAAGGCAGCACAGAAACGTCACCTCGTGTTAGCAGTAACGACGATTCCTTGATGTAGTGACTGTCCGGTATAGGTGGCTTGTTGTCAAACACCACTGTTGCCTTTGACTGGTACGCTTGCGTGCTGTGGTTCAATGTGCTAGACATTTACTGAATGAGGTCGGCTGACTGTGACCAGAAGGAATGTGGTCATAAGGACGGCAGTAGTTGCCGCTATTTACGCTGGTGAACAGTGCAGGTCTGAATCGTCGTCAAGTTAATCACAAGCGATGCTAGTGTAAAGCATTTGCGAACTCGCGCGTTTCTTGAAGTACCTGTCTGGGATCGTGCATGTTCTCAACTAGTCCACTAATCAAGGCTTTTCTATGCCTTTGCGTGCGTCAAGACAGAGTGTTTGTGTCTGCTTGAGTTCGCGCCGCATGTTCGTCAAGTTTGCCACAAACTGGAGTGATTCGAGGCATTGAAGCGTTGGTGTTGCCTTCTTGCAGGTTGCTTCACCGGTTCCGCATTACTACACCCCAATACATTTACAGTGTTGTGTGACCAGCTAAGAATATCTGGTGGATTAAGTTCCGCGTTTTACAGTCACATTTGTGTTGATGAAATGCGGAAGGTGTCCCGTTTCCGCTTGCCTTTGGAATTCGTTTCACGAATGTGGACCAGTTTTCGAAAGGTTTCGATTCCCAAGGCCAGATTTGATAGTTCACGCCAGTATCCGCTCAACGACACAATAAAGCGACTAATACATTTAAGGCATGTGATCGTTTGTGAATCGTCGCACACCAGTTCGAGTGTCCACCATTGAAATGCTAACCGTAGAGTAATGCACCGAGAATCTTAATGGTACAAGATCTATTCGTCTGGTGGTCATTTGAATCGCCGATCTGTGACCAACCCTCATCGTACTGCTGTAATGCATGCCGAAGCTATGGTGGTATTAACTCGAGTCATGGAGTCTGTAAACGTTAACCGTATATTGTTCCTTTACAAATATGTGGTCAGACTGATCCCCTTCAATCCAATTCCCTTGTTTTGTGTCTGTGTTTGTAGGAGTTATTTGTTGTAGACCTCTGACACGGGGGTCAGTATCTTGTAGGTTGTCACTAGTGCTTGAACGTAGTTTGCGTCTAGTGCTTGCTAATGTAAGTAGCGCGACCCCGTATATTGGCTGTCTGAGACACAAACGAATGTGTCTGAGTTGAGGCGTGCTTTGTTTGGAATAAAGGCTTAGTGGAGAATCGTAAAGCAACCATTTCTGGACGAACTGGAGTGTGGTTATGTAATCCGGTGTCAGCTTCTTCAATTCACTGCCGAATGGTGGGTTCAGATTTGTTGTCGGTTTTAAATAGCACTGATGAGAACCAATCTTCTCACTTTTTTTCACAGTTGCCAGAAAGCTCGTTAGATCGCAAATCTAGTGTTATCTCTTCGGTGCGATGAGTTGATTTGCATAAAGGGTCTCACTGCAGGCCATTTTGAGAGCGTGCATCTTTGGCATTGTGCTTTTCTTTGACGTTCTCAAGACCTCTAATTAAAGGGAACCACACATCGCTACCGCGCATTTGTGATTCCGCTGTGAATTGGTTTGGGTGGCATGGAGGAGGTTCGGACAGTGTTGTGAGGGAAAATCCACAGGCTGCACTGGTGCATGTGGCAGGTTAGTGGGACTGCTTGTACCCGTCTGACTGTGACTTGCATGGTGTGCGCCCTAATTATAGTATGTCTGTAGCCACGTTAGCAACGGCTCAACCGACTGAGCGAATTAACAACTTTTCGGTTAGCCCCGTGCGGTGTTTATCGTCACTTGAACCATCCGCGCTCTCATGAAAATCTACAGAATTCTCTGTGTACTAACCTTGGTAAATGCCGAATTCCCATTCAGACGATTGTTTCTACGACCACACGACATGGGAAAGTGACACATTTTCTGCGTGCGTTTTCTAAGTTGTCTGATGGTTGGAAGCACTCGATTGGAGCTCTCGCGCGTGTTAGTAAGGGCTTCAATCGTACATTAAGATTAAAAATAACCCCTTCGTTTCCGCGTACGCGGTACTTTTGGGTATGTCACCGTGAAGCCTGCAAATCGGTGGATCCTCGCACTTAATATCCTTCGAAACCAATAAACCCTTGGGGTGAATTGATGTGCGCACCTAGTAAATGCCCTGGGATATTTCCATCCGACATTGACATTTCGGCAAGGTCTGCCTTGCTACTCTTGAACTGCTTCTCCTACTCGTTCCAGAAGGTTAACGCGAACCCACAAAGACCTCGGATAACGCCAATCGTTTCTGTCGTTTTTTCGATAAGTACGATTTATTGATTAACAGGTGCTGCAAATAATCAAATATCTTCGATTGTCATCTAACCATCGTCGTGCGGACTGGCTTAGTGAGTGGGATCAAAGTATTAGGTTGTTATCGCTTTTCACCGAAAATGGTACATTAAGTTTTCAGACTTTGGCCGCACGACAGCCGATTCATTTCACAGTGTTCTTTTGTTTGATGTGCGTGTGTCGCAGTAGCCAACTTCGTGGGATACTGTCGTTGGCCTGATTTCAAAAATGAAGGGATCGATCAGGTGTGCGGTTTGGCTGTAAAGAAGTCGCGGTCCTCTATACTTTGAATCATTTCAGTGGCTTCGAAATGCCTGTGTGTTGTGGTGGTTTGTGTGTGATACTTGTGTTCAATCGTCATTGAATTTAAACGGTTGATCGACTTCACTCGCTGATAATTCTTATCCTCGTTTTGATTTTGTACAGATACCTTGAAGTCTTAATTTGTACTGGCTATTCTGCTTCTACTGTTCCCCATTTGTGAAGACCACATTTCATGGGCCTGCACCGACACTTCTTCCTATCCGCGTTAGAAGCGGTTGCGCGTTAATTTATCTTTTTTTGCCACCGTCGTGTTATGTCTAGTGTTAATGTGATACACCAGACAGGCCTACATTAAATGGCTATCCGCTGAGATTTAAGAATTTGCAGCACTGAAAAGTAGCGTAGTTTGGATTGTTTAGTCATCGTCAAACAGCATACAACGTTTTAGCGCTTTCGGCTTTTATTTTACGTCACATTGGAAATTATCATTTCGCTTATTTACGCGTCTGCTTTCTCTCTCTTTGAAAGACTTGCCGACATGTCTAGGCGGAGGTTAAGGTGTGTTCTTAGCCGAAAGGGCTTTCGCGGGGCATCTTTTCTCCCGTTTTTTTTTGTTAACGTCATTTCTGTGACTCATCAGAGCGTCTTTGTAGTAATTCTTGTTTGCGACCATTCCGATTTCCTCCTTATTTTCATCCCAGTCTTGGTGCCATTATCCCGCGATTATCGAGCTTACCTCGGCTGATCCACCGATCGATCGGCACGTTCTGTGCGGTGTGACATCCTGACACCCCTCTTAGTGGGCGCGACCATTTACTCTGCTCCCGTGGCTTGCCTCATCTAAAATGTTTTATCAAATCGTGACCATCAACTTTATGTTTTGATCACGGCAAGGTCTACGCAATGTTCCGATTCTTCATCGTTCTCTCCAGCTTTTCTGATCACATTTCTCATTCGGCCAAAAGTCGTTACTTTGGAGGGCATTTTGAAGCACGTGAGGGAGTATGTCCATCGCACCCACCAACGTCAAGGTACACGCATTACTGTTAACTGCTCGATGTGTAGCCTATTGTTGGGATGCCTAATATCACTAGTTACCCAACAAAGATGAAGTCGGTGGAAGGAAAGAGAGTCAAACGTTTATTCGAGAACTTGACGAAGACGTGGTTTCCTGGTGTGGGGTTTGTGCGTGTGTATTTATACCTCGGATGTGTGAGTCATACATGTGCTAACCTCGAGACCTAGGTGTGAGGTTAATCCAAGATGCATATACGTGTGAATGAAGGGGGAGTTAAGGATTTGCGCGGCTGGCGCCATGCTGCGAAAAAGGGGAGCCCTGTGTCGGAGGCGGAGCGATCGGATTAAGAGGATGAATAAACACGATTCACAACACTATCTTCATTTGCTGGGGCGTATTCGTCTACCTGTGCGATTTATTTGGACAGTCACGTACTTCTAGGCCATAAAACGAATTGCATCCCACGTGTTCATCTGCCAAATGTCCTTATTGTGCTTGGGCTCACTTTTGCGGGCCTGGCAGCCTGGGTCGCTGGTCACGTAGCCAGCTGTCTCACGCGTTCAAATCCGTTTCGCCTGGTGCACGCTGGAATGCCGTTGGTTTTTGTGCGTTCTGCCCCCCGCACATCCCACCCCTTGCCCACCCCCCAATCACTTTGGCACAAAACGCACACACTGCACGCTGTCCGCTGCCGGACTGACTGCGTGCTTGTATGCAGCGTGACTGGGCAATGGGGGGGAGGGTCACCTTGTCGCCTAATTGTTTGCTACTGTGAATTTGGCGTCGAAAATCATTGCTTCTGTTCATTGTCATGTTGGACAAACGTGGTATGTAAGTCCTGACACGATGTTTCCACGCCGGAATCTCCATTCAACACACAAACACGCACCCCTGGGTACTGTAGTTGTCCCTCCGTAATAGATTGTATGACTTATTTTTGCCGATATTTTCTTCGAGTCTACAATTGTATTTAAAGTAAAAATATTTTCGCGGTCTTTTGTGGTCTTGAAAGGATCGTACACAAGGTTTCAGACTACCGAATACATGTCTGCGTGGGTTGCCTAACCTCTCAGAATGGCAGATCTTACGATGGCAACTAATAAACAGCACACTCGGCACCGCATTTTATGCGAATCCCAACAAGAAAAAAATGCTCCTAAAGCCCAGAAATCAATTTGTAGTGTTCTTGGTGCCCACTTCGCGTCTTGTGAAACGTGTAACTACTGGTACAAACCTTTTAGAAGTGGTGATTTCGGTCCTATTGACCAGCCGTGCTCCGGACAGCCTCAGAACTTTGAAGATGAGGATTTGAATGAAGACTTAACGCAAACGCAGCAAGAGCTTGCAGCACAGTTAGGAGTTACTCAAGCACATATTTCCAAGCGTTTGCACCAAATGGAAGAAAAATTCCAAAACGTGGAAGTTTGTCCCACATGTGTTGGCAGAACACAACCCAGGTCAACGTATAAACACATGCCTTTCACTGCAACAATAAAACACTTCTTGTGGAAAATTGTGACGGTTGACGAAAATTGCAATTTCTAATGAGAATCCAAAGCAAAAAAAGTCGTCGGTAGACCACTGGAAACTGGGCGAAGAACTTAATTTTTAAAAGGCCTTTTACTGGACAAGGAAGCAGGCAAGTCATACCGCTTCATGACACCTCACGTTGCTCGCGCGACTCTAAAGACCCTCTTGAACTTGGGATGGGACGTTCTCCCACACGCGGCATATTCACCATTTGGTACTGTCAGTGAAGCATGTCTTAGTGGATAAACGGTTCAAAACGCTGGCGGTGATGTGCTTAAATTCCTCGATGACTTTCTGGCCACGTGGCCTGCAAGTTTCTTCCGCGACGGCGTTGGTGCATCACCTGAGAGATGGCGCAAGGCCATAGAAAATGGTGGACAATATCTCCAAGATTAAGTTCGTTGTTGTCTATTTTTTAATATTTAACCAATTTGCTGAGCAATCTGTACAAATTAAGCCACACACCGGGTATTTTTCACTGCCGAATTTAACCATGTTGGTGTTCCCCAACTTGCATTGCGGAACAACTGAAAGGGCCTATGGTGCTTTATTTCGCTACTCTTTCGGTTGTGGTTTTGATTTTCCTGCAGATAGTTTCTACTCCAATCCGATAACTAGGCCAGGTTCCCGTCACAATCTTTGTGGCTTTTGTACGTTTGCCATTTGGCCAATTTCTGCCTTCGTTGCAGTTTGGCGCCAAGACTGCAATTCTACGAACGTAATTTTGAGCAATTTGGGCCTTGCAAGATGATCTTCCTTCTTCGCATCCTCGTGGCGATAGAAGGATAATGCATACTAAAAGCCTATGTTTTAGTGAACCACTTCCTCTCGTATTGTGGGCTTGTCTGAGGTCTCTTAAACCCACCGCCACATGGTCGTGGTCTGGATGATCGCTTCTGAGGCCAACCGGGGTCTTAAAAGACCTTCTACTTTGACGGGGATGTTAATCAGGAAAATTGGGTCACGTTGTGCGCCATTTCCCTTGTGTGGAAGTCTTTGAGATCGCTCCCCTCGGTTGGAAATGACCATCCGCCATTCACCTGAGCAGACCGGTTCAGGTAGACTCCTCCAACTTTGCATGTGCTGGGATCGCTGGTCAATCATGTGCACACACCGGACCACGGTCCACTTTCTTGACCCAGAGAGTCATCTCCGCACACCTTTAACCCTCCCTCCCTCCACCACCATCCTGGCGACAGTCTAGAGTCCAAGTGTTCTGTCACCACTAACACGTGGAACGATGCATCGTCATCTTTAGAAAAGTGTTTCCAATTAACTTCCAACTTAAGGCCACTTACGTGTCAAGTCGGTCGCACTTGTGAGGCTTGGGTACAAATTTTATTTAACTCATGAACCCAATTCTTGTTCGAAAATAAGGTTGATGCCATGCTGCGCTCTTTTATGTTCGCGACAGAGGAAATACCGGCTAGTCCTTTACTTAATGTAAACATCCAATGTCTAATTGGTTAGATGTAGACTGTTTTTATTACGTCGACGTGTTACTTATGTTGGTTGTGTCCAGTCAATGACGATGGTAACTGTGTGCGACAAGCATTTTTACTTCGCCACATGTCCTACATTGCCTATAGTGGAACTGGGACGGCGGTAAGTCAGAGCATGTTGTGTGGACCTCGACGGCGCCAGCTTGTCCGGTTGTCTTCACACGCAGGTGGCCGCGTTTGTAGGGTCACCATGAGTCACCTTGTCCTCACGCCCAAGGGGTAGGCGTGATGCTAACACCAAGTATCATTAGGCGAGGCTGTCACGGCATGCCTCCGCCTTGGCTTGGTGTAATGGCGTTGTGCGCCCATTTAAGCCTTGAACTCAATAATGACCATTGCTTTTCGCTAAAATCTGTTAATCCACATCCAGCTCCTCCAATTCTATTTTTGTACATTAAAACTTCACATCCATAGGTCGGTTTAATACGTTGCGTCCTTGCATCAAGTTCATCCAGTCGAAATAAACTAAATAAAAACATAAATTATAAATGACAACCGCTGCGCCTCACCATTTCCCGTCCCTCCCTCCCCATGAGGTCCTTCGTGCTTGTTTATGTTGGTTTTCTTGGCTGCCAGTCTGCAATATATAAGGCCTTTCGACGAGCGGTCATCAAGAGCAAAGTGGCGTTTCGCTTCAGCCGCATTGGCCGAGGTAAAGGCCACCATTTATGGCACTGAGGCATTGCGGTTGCGAACAGCGCTCGGAGTCGCAGGCTGATGCCTCAATGTCCCCTACTTCTCGTCATGCTCGGTCATCCACCAAACCACTCGCCCATTTTGCTTTCCCCTCTTTAACAATTATTTTAATTAATTTCTGAGTTATTTACAAAGAAAAGTATTCACTCAAGCACGAATATGTGCGAGTAGATCTTAACTTCTAAAAGCATTGTTATTTTAACCGGTGTAAGTACTCCTAGCAGTTATGGTTGACTAACATTACCCTCCCTCATATCTATAATTTCACGAGAGTAGTTTGCTTCTTATTATTACTTTCTAAGAGAATTTTGCCTGTTGACATTATTTGCGAGACACCTTGTCACCACCATCGTTGTTTGGTACCCGACAGTCACCACACAAGCCCTGTCCTTAATCAAGGCCCTGTGTTAACATTACCAGGCATTCTTCCATGTGCAAATCAACTTTTTTTCCCTCAATCTCGATGCTCACTTGGCCTCATGATTCGCGTACTCCCGGCCACACTTGCATGAACATGTGCTTGTAATCACGCAATTCACAGCGCCCTAAAACATCCTGCTGATTTTCCTGCTCTCCTCCCAAACGACCTCTAACCTTTGATCTGCATTCTAACCCATTAATTAAATTCGGAAACCTGTGCGGTGTTCAAGTGTATGTGTCGCTTCCTTTGATAGTTAGGTTACCTCATGTGCAATGATTGCCGAATGTTTGCTCTCAAATAGTTTTCGATGCCACCGGGTTCGTAAACAACTAAGTGTTGAAGCGTTGTAACATTTTTCAGGCTCTTCTGCTTGAATTTACAAAATCCAAGATCCATTCATTGTGTTGTCTTCGCTCACAACATTTAACCATGTGTAATCTGTCAAACTAACACCAATGTGTTCATACCCGCGAAGACAACTCAGCAATAGTTATCGACGTCGTTATTTTCGCCCTATAACACGGTGCCTAAGCCTTCACGTCGACTGGCTTTTCCAATGACTCCACCCTTTAATCTTCACGCATTTGTACACTTGTATATTCTCGTACACGGCAGACAAGATGACGTGTGTCCGGCTAACCAATAAACGATTGAGTCTCCTTCGCTTACGATGTCCGTTGGGTACGTTGTGTCGTATCGCGCCGCAACATGTTCATCGTCGTTCATTGTCGTGGAAGACTTTTGTGTGCTGGTTTAAGCTTCGGTGTAAGTGCAGCAATTGGCTAGCCAATTGACTACTAGTGGATTTGTTTAAGTTGAAAGAACGCATTAGGTGTACCAAATTATCATTGGCTTACTGGGTATCCGCAAGCGGCTGTTGAACTCATCAGTAAACATTAACCACACCTCCCATTTGTTTCACTTTGCCGCGCTGTTTGACTTGAGGCCTCTGGAGTGCCAGCTCGGCGGCTTCTATTGGCGTGGGTGCCGGACCCACCCCTCGGACCACCCGGCCCCCCACATCGACTTTCACTGCCACGTCCGAGTCGAAGTCGTCGCCTCTCTCACTGCACCTCCAGCGCCGCAGGCCCTCGTCTTCCGCCTCCTCAAATGACTCCGCTGTCGAACTGTTGCCCTGTTCCTCGGAAAACTCCAATGGGAATTTCACAGGATGCCCACAACGACTCCGGCATCCCAGCCCAAATCCGTGAGCTGTTGTTTTTAGAGTCTTGAATTCATCACTTAAGCTTAACCTTAAACAGTCTACCTTACGTCACTAATCTTGATTATCAGTTGACGATTTTATATTGTGCAAACTTTTGACTATTGGCTAGTCGAGCGTTCGAGTTTTTGGATACTTATGCTCACAGATAACGTTTTAGCTATGGTATCTAAAAACAATTTTCGTAACATCTTATTCCCTCGTGACCAGCAGTATGCGAAGAAGTTGTCTTTCCCTCTGCCTACTCACAAGATTTTTCAAAGTAAAAAGATTACCATTTTTACGAGCTGCTCTGTTCGCGAACGATGCCTCAATTGAAATATGTATAAGGTAGTTAATGTGACACTGGAAACTACAAGAAGAGGCAAAAGTTTTTTGGAAAAAAATCTGTACCATTTATGATAAAATTCGACACTGACGTGATAGTTACTGTTATCAGTTTCTCGTAGTATCAGAAAGAAGCTGAATGTTTCACAAACGGCTTATCTTCAGTTCTCTGCAAGATATGGGCACGTAGCAGTCATGCTTAAACTTGACCAGATAAGACCACCTAGTGACCACCTCACTTTCAGGTCTGACCACTACTCCATGGTATATTCGTCTCCGTCGAATCGAGACTACAAACAAGCCGACGGTGAACTTGCCACTCCTGTTTCGAACGTTTCTTCCTGCCAGTCGGTAGCGCATAAACCCGCCGCTTCGCTGACCTCTCAAGACGTTGAAGACGGTGCGATCGGCCGGTCGGTTTCGACTGCCACACTCACCAGCGGTGAGCTAGAAGCTGAGCCGACTTACGCCGTGCCTTTGGCAACCGTCGTTAAACGACCTAAGGGGCCGCAGGCTCCTCCCCCCGTTCCTCCGAAGGGACCGTTCAGTACCTTCGAATCGGACCGTTTTATTGCTCCACCGACCCTCGCTGTGACCCCCCAACCGCCATCTCACTCCTCCGAGGCAAGTCACGCTTCACACTATACACCCTCCTCTCCTCTAATTTGATGTTTTTTACTACTTGGAAAGCACCTGAAAAAGAAGAGCGACAGTTACGTGAAGTGGTAGTTTTATTAACCACAATGATGTTGCATTTCGGGTCACTGCCTCTTACTGACCTGCTTCTTGTCCTCTCTGTTGTAGGCGACCCCACATCGTCGGGCTGCGAGCGCGTTGCGTGTGTGCTACCAGCGTTCGCCGATTTTCGCGGACTCTACCAGTCGTCGTCCCGCCTCCACTGTCTCGTCTTCCGGTTCCACAGCCAGCTGGTACGCCGACATTCTCCCATACAAACCCTCCACCCTGCCAGAGACCCTTGCTGATCGCTTGAAACAGCGAAACAGTTTTGTCCTCTCCTCCGGGACCCCTAGTGTTGCGGCTACCGACAACCTCATGACTCGGTCCTTGTTTGAGTCACGCCATCTGTCTACTAATAACACTGTCGACAGTGGCAGCGGAGTGAATAGTCGGCCGAATGGTCGAATGCGACCCGTTTCTTTCCACGACGCCTCGCCGACTTCGATTAATCTTCCTTCTCTCGACCATCTGCTAAAAGTGAAGGGAGACCAAAGGCCGTTGCCACGGCCTCGTTGCGAAGCCACAACGACAAAAAGTCCTATTGGTTTCCCCCTCGAACCACTACATTTGCAACCATCCGACTCGCCACTCCTCGGACAGTATTGTCGCTTGAAACTAATCATCCCCCTAACGTCCAACTTTACCTCTCCCAATTCGAATGCGGGGCCATGCACGACTTTTATGTAGCCTTCTCCCTAATTGGCCTTTTATTTCCCCCTTATGTATACACGCACATGCATACAAATAATCTCAATGCGTTCGCTACTTTCAATACACCAAATTCCTAACTGGCTTCTTTGCGCCTCGTTAAGAGGTGGATTTTGAAACTAGTGCCACAATTGTACAGCTGCCTCCTACCGAGATCTTTCCGCATGACGTTAAAAGCTGAGCAAGAGAGGTAACTCAGGTGTTAGACTGGGCTTGGCCAACAGTTAGCGTGAGGAGTGCCCTGCGTCACTATACAGCCTTGTGTGCAAACCATGTCTGCTTTAGCCCAAGACATCATAGTCCCCAGCCAATGTGAACAACGCATTGTGAGCTACGGCTGTGAAATGCATTCGTCTGCAGGCCCCCTGTTAAAAGTCAGACCCTTGGTTAGTACACAGGGACAGGCATTTGCATATACCCATTCCATAGCTGCTTCTGCAGTATAACTTTTTTGTTGCTGACGCGGGCTGTATCTGCGACGTGTTGGTCGTTCCTTGATGTTTAAAGGTCACTAAATGGTATATGATTAGTCATAGGAAGGCCCTTATTGCCGCACTTATTTGGTGCCTAATGCGTGCTGGTGGCTCTAGCCCTCGTTTAATGATAGGGCGTTGAAATCCCATGTTTCTGATGGCACGTATTGATGGTAAAATTCATTCTGTAGTTAAAAATTCCTGCTTGTCAGATGGTTTGAAAATGACATTATTAAGGAATGGTCTCACTTGTGGATCATCGACTCGGATAAGATCATTTTTTGCGTATAAAGATACAAAGCCGATTATTTTTGGTGGCCTCAAAAGAGGGCTAAAATTCCATAGTTCAAATAATCAAGGGACTGTTCTACTTTTGTTAATATGCGTAAGTGGAGTTCTCGTGTAAATGACTACGATTGGTCGAATCACAAACCTCATCTTCGCATAAGTTTTGTTCTCCCCGCCTAGTCTACGCCGTGCTGGCTGCCCAATGTCTGCGTACATCTAAATTGGCGTCCCATCTTATTATCATAGACCTCAGACACACGAGCACGATACATTTCTGGTTTTGAAGTGCTTTTATTAAGCAAACTTATCATGAGGTAAACTGTTGCTTGCATGGATCAGCCGGATTGGGCAACGCTAGGGCTTCAGCAGTAGGCCACGTGCAAGCCTTTGCTGAGGTGGGCCAAAACAGCCCATGAAAGCCCATTTCCCAAGAGGAGGGGTGAGTAATTGTGGCCAAAAAAGTATTCAGTGTGCTGCGCGCCCTAGATGTGTGCCCAAAAGTTCAATTTTGGCTGCTGCTGCCCTTGGACACAAATGATGACAAATTGCTGCCTTCTTCCATTCATACATCTTGGTTATTTTCCCATGTAGTCCGCACCCAGCAACGCGCTTACGCATTCCTGCAAAAAAAATGGAAATCAAAATTGAGCTGTTCACGACACCGAAGGTGTGGAAATGCTTTGCGAATTAATCAACCCTCGAACCACTGTAAATGCGACTTCTACAAGGCACACAAATCACAAAATCCTTATATCGAAACAATTTCACCTGTGGTATCACGTGTTGTGACCTTTTAGTTAATTTTTTTTAAAAATTGGAGGCCGGTGGCTGTGCAACTGCATTTAGCCCATTATATTTGTCGATACAATTATTGACCTTTACAAGTATTAACTTTAGGACTAATGAAAAGTCTGGAAATAGACCCATCACCTATCATCAACCATCAATCAGTAGATTGCACTAACCTGTGGCTCAAAGGCTTTCTTTTGGTAAATTAGTAAATGTTCACAGCACAACAACGCGTTGTTGGTCGCAACTCGCCGAATGCGTTCTCATACATGTCGTGAATTTCAATAATGTTTCATGTCTATAGACCTTTTACTAATTTGCTGATAAGCCCATTAGCCTTGAATGCCTTCCACACACAACGGCACACGACAGGACTCCTCTCACTGGGTTACCCAACGGACGTGGATTTTATTTTTTCACCTCGTCCCAAGCCTCAATTAGTGCTGAAAATCCCTCCTTTTGAGATTTTGTAAGCTATTAACTGTTTCCCTAAGCGCGCCCACTTTTAATCCTCCTGTTATTGGTACAGACCAGATGCTACTGGCCTTCGCACACACGTTAAGGAGTCTAGATGGAACCGGTTTTAAGAAAAACAACGGTGGGATTCGCAGATATGTGAATGGACCCGGTGTCCCGTCTCTGGTAGACTTACAAACTGCATATTTTTATACACAAGCTACATGTGCGCATTCAGAGCTACGTACAAAATATGTGCCTTTCTTAATATGCAGTGAATACTAATAAAGCTTGTTCAGAAGACCTTTCAATTACAATAAACTAAAAAGAATGGATATAATTATGCCGCAATAACTTGGAAATGAGTCGATATCTCCTTTCCTGTCTTAAATACATTGATTTCAATAAATCGTATGCTTTTGGCGAAAACTTAATCATTCGTAGATATTCTGAACCTGCATTCTAAGCATGCTTGTAAATTCCAGCAGTCCATTTGATTTCCCCTGAATTTAGTTGAAATTTCCTTTTTGAGGATAATTTTATCCACAGTTAACTTTAGGTGCATTTACGATCCTAAAAATTTTCTTTCCTTATTGAAATTGACTGTAGGAAAAGGTTACCAAAATACCAGGTCAATTCTGGTTCACAAGACCCTCGATAGACTAAATCCTGCTCAAAGTACAAAACCTAACACTGATTGTTTTTATTATTGATTTGAACTTTCCAACACAGGACAGCATTCAACATAGGGAGCATGAGGGGATCGGGTTTTGAATAAGAGTTTGTCATTGGAAGAACTTAGTTATCACAGAGATTTTCATTTAATCAAAAGTTCTCATATCGTTCTCCCGTAATTTGAACATTCGTTCACAATGTTGACAAGCCCGCATCAACGAGATACTAAAACAAAGTTTCTCCTAACATTTATTATTGGTAGTAAGTACCTGGAGAGGTTTATTAAAAAGACGCTTACATTTAAGAATGGTACAAGTACAATGATTGAGATAGCCATTAGGGGCAATGAACTACCTGTTTTTAGTTTTACCATGGCCATCCGAATTGCCCAGACGATATGATTTAATGAAATTAGTTTTTCACAGGACATGCGATAGTGTGTATACAACATCGAGATTGTAAGTGTAAAGCAAATCGTTCCTTCAGATCATATTATCCACTGCCTACCTAAACAAGACTACGCGTGTTCTCTGAATTTTAATGCCTCGGCTTACGAAGGCAGCTTGGATCTTATCCATTGAAATTGGCAGTTCAGCCATTATTCTGCTTACAAATTTGCCTATTTCCAAAATACAGGACCTACAGGGGTATTGTAAATAATCAAGTCAATGAAGGCTGAAGCAAATTGCCGGAAAACCTGGAGATTTTGCTGCTTACTGAAGTAAATCATGCAACGTTGTAGACCACTTCCCAAGGATTTTCTCCCCGGTTTAATCTGGCACCAACTCGATGAACGACATTTCGGGACAAGATTGATTCATATTGATTTTTCTCCAACGCATTCTCACGGTGTAGCATATGATTGTGACCATTACTTTTTTTGTTATTCCTAAATGTGGGATTACAAAGGTGTTATTAGTTTGTGATCAAGTACAATACCTTGTTTTTTTTACATTCTTGGGTGTAGTTCTGTTAAAACTCATTTAAAGTGAAAAAATAACTGCAAGACACACTATACTTCCGTTCATATACTACTTATAGTTCAAATATGACTGTGGCGTTTGCACTCCAGTTTATATTTTGGACAACGTAGCATTTTATTGATAATAGGAATTGTATGTTTCCGAATAAAGACTATTAAAGGCGTCTTGGAGAGACACTAATTTGCAATTTATGGGCAAATTATCTTAATTGATTTTCTTCTAAATTACCTAGGCCAGAAGTTCTCAATACCCTCGTAGATGCTACGTAAGGGAAGCATCTACCGCACATTGTCTGAAATTGAATCAATCCTTGGTGAATTCAATTTGTGATAAATACAGCCTGATCACTAAGATGTGAAGACATGGCGAATATTGTTAATCCCCATACATGTTGTCTATTGTATCATGTCCAGACGCCTTGGTTACTCAACGCATTCAAATAATTCGTGTTTCGATTCCGTCTTTACCCAGTCTCAGCGATCCCACCGTTTATGAAGTTACGTCTAAGCACAAAACCATGTGTACAGGCCCTCCACGCACGTACGCGATTAAGGTGCTTAAACGACTCCTTCCGCACACAAACCACAGGGACCCATCGGAAATGAGTAATCTGATAAGCAGTTGTCTCAATCTCCCCGGATTTTCCCGTTCTTCCTCGAGTACCTAAACAGCACAACCAAGACTCAATCAGTGAGCGGTCCTCCTTGTGCGGATTGGAGCCTTCTATTGGATCCAGCGCAGTCCGGCCAAACCCATCTGATTCAAAAAGATTTCGTAAACAAACAGTGACAGCAATTTGAATATAATGCATTACACTGCTCCAAGCGGTACCTCATTAAAGTACCTGAAACTGCATTAGATCAGGCTTTCCTTGAAACGTGACTCGGACTTTGTTTTTACTAAACAAAATACCTAGTTCACTTTGAACTGTTCTTGTTCTCACTTAACGGCGGAAACTTAATGGGACCAATTACAATAAGTCATGGTGATCAAGTGACTCTGGTAAACCAAAGCTCAGGTTTTCCTAGCTAACAAACGGATGGCTTAGACACCTGACTGTGAAAAGTTCGAAATAAAGAAATCACTTCCGTTCTAATCCAAATTCAGTGTAGCTCCTTGATTATCTTTGAGTTGATTCTACTGGAGCAATCCTAAATGTAACACATCAATAAAACAATAGACCATAACTTGATGGCACACAATATTTTAAGTTTTCCAGATAATTTTAATCTGCCCTCCGTTGTTTTATTGATCTCCTAGTTCAATAAGCGTTCTTCCTATTTAGTTTTCCGGACAGGATTTTTGTTTTAAACTGATCAACTCTACCGTGTTGGCCTGAGCAAGGGAATGAATTCTTAGTAACCACGATCTATTTGCACTAATATTATGATTCACTCAAACATTCGGAGTGCAGTTACTAGGGTACAAGGTGGAGATTAATCAAATTTTGTGTTTTAATGGCGCAATTACTTTGATAAGGCTGAAATTTGTACAATAGTTTAAATATGCTCTTTGGCTTGGTCGTTACCAGTCATGGAAAAATTATCTTGAACATCACAAGTCCGACAACAAGTCAAGCACCATCCTCTTCATCTATTCTGTATCATGCAGTATAGCAATCAGACCTTTATGCTCGAATACTCTTAACTTTGTGCCCTCGTAATCTCACCCAGAATGCTTGAGTTCATGGTAGGATAAATGTAGCATTTAAAGTATCCACCACCCGATCGGAAATCTAGTATTCTTAATTTGATTCTATATGTGAAGTTTTACTAACTACATGTTTTATTCCTTTGTAACAGTCATAAATTTCTATGTTTATAAGGTTTTGACATTATATTACAGTCCATTTTTTCAATGTAGCTGAGAAATGGTATTCTGTTTAGTTTAACATCTCTCAGGTGTGAGCATACAATTCGTAATGAAATACTGTATCATATACAGGCGAATATTCATGGTTTGATGCAGAAGTCAATTAAATCCCCATTTTTACCTAAAGTCTCAAGCAACAAACAAAATTAAGGAATATAAAACATGAATTTGACTGCATCATGTTGTTGTTTAGAGGATAAGCGAGTTATATGGTAAGTTGTTGTAATAACTAGAAGAGTATAAATTTTCTTAACTTAACACGTTATGATATGTAAAAAATCTCAAATAAATAGGCATTTCTGATAAAGACTGTTAAGCTGACCACAACATCGGAAGTTCATGGAAAGAAGGAACAAAGGAAAGAAATCAAAAAAACATTAACAAATTGTTTTTTGATAAGATTAATAAAGCACATTTAAAGCTAAAATAAATAGAATTAAATAATTGTTTTGAGATTATTAGTCAACAAATTAAAAATATTTTTAAACTGTTATTTTGTTTAAACTTGCTACGACTGCTAAAGGGCGCTGTGACCACAATTTGTGAAATTTGTTGGGTCATGATTCGGTCTCGCCTGTACAAAAATTCTGGAAAAGATAATGAGGTAGTTGTAATTCCTAAGCCTACTTTGGCATTAGGAGCTTAGAAGAAGACGGATCGATCAATCGGTCGAACTGAGAAAGGCTAAGAAGGATCAACAACTTCAGAAACGTCGTAATGTTCTGCGTGATGTTCAAGAGACGTCCCAGGTGGAATCATATGACGTAGATTCTTTAAGTTTATCTTTATACGGTTTAGTTAAAGTCGGCGCCTGCCAATTATGATCAAATAATTTTTGAAATGGAAAGTCCAAATACTTTGGTCCGCCTTAATGCAACCAGAATGTGTCGCAAACTGCTTTCAAGGGCGAAGAATCCACCTATCGATGAATTTTTCGAAAGAGGCGCAGTTAAGGTTTTAGTTCGTGCATTAGATTTTGATCCGTATGTGTATTTTCATTACTTGACCGTGGTAGTTCTAGCAATGAATTGGTTTTTGAGGCGGCGTGGGCTCTCACTAACATAGCTTCTGGTGAGTCACATCACACTCAGGGTGTCGTTGAGAGTGGAGCCGCACCAAAACTTATTCATCTTTTAAATCACGAGGATGTCCGCGTGGCTGAGCAGTGCATTTGGGCCCTCGGCAACATTGCTGGTGATGGCTGCAGTTACCGGGATATGCTTATCAAACTTGGTGCTGTTCCACCTGCTCTTCAGTAAGTTTTTTTGCTTAAAATAATAAGACCTCGTTATGATACATGGTTGTTTTTTGGTTTTTGTACCTTTTTTAACGCTTAGGTCGGTTTGTATTGTTCAATGCATGGATGTCGTACTTGCACTCATAATTTTCATTTTCTTTTTAGGCTTCTCGAGAGAGCGTGGGATTCCGCAGGCGTCGTTTCGAATATCGCATGGATGTTGTCTAATCTGTGTCGAAACAAGAATCCGAATCCTCCACGACAAACTATTCTTTCCCTTCTCCCTGTATTTAAACGACTTCTGGAATATCCACTTAGCCAGGAAGTTATTGTTGATACCGCTTGGGCTCTTTCTTACGCAAGTGATTGCGCAGGTGAATTCATTGACGACATTCTCCAGAGTGGATGCATTCCAGTTTTAGTCCGACTTCTTGGGTCAAACTCGGTGAGATTTTAGGATGAAGTTTTTTCTGCTTATTAGTTCCCACTGCATTTTATCAAAATAGGGAAAATAGGTGTACAATTTGGACCCTATTGTTTTAAATCGTATTTTATCGTATAAAATATTTTGCATTGTTGTACCCAGCAGCAATAATATTGAGAGTCCTATAATTTGTTGACTTATGGTCTGATATCTGGTTCTTTTTTAGCCCAACTTGGTATCTCCCGCTTTGAGGGCCGTCGGGAATCTTATTCTTGGCGATGATGAGCAGACTCAGGTTGTCGTCGACAGCGGTGTGTTGCAATACGCACAGGGTCTACTTGATTTCGATAGGCCTAGCGTAGTGAAAGAAGCCTGCTGGATGTTGAGCAATATAACTGCAGGAAATCTAACGCAAATACAAGCCGTTGTCGACGCAAACCTCGTCCCACGAATTATTAAGCTGGTTGAAGAGGTAGGTCCCAGATTAGTGAACACACTATTTTATGCTTTAGGCAGAGTTCAAAATCCAGAAGGAAGCATGCTGGGTTATAAGCAACATTGTCAATGGAGGTTCCCCTGAACAACGGGCGTACCTACTTAATAATGGTGCCCTAGAAGCCTTAAGCAAGTTACTTAATGTTTCGGACGCCCGCGTTCTTAAATTGGTGTTGGAAACTATCAAGAAGATGTTTGAGGTGGGTTGATGTTATATTCTTCAAAAAGGCTGGCCATTTCCCAACTCTTGACGCACGTTGATTTTTGCAGACAGCTAAGCAGTTCGGCCAGCTGGAGCCGTGCTGCTTGGCTCTCGAATTGTGTGGTGGCTTGAACTCCATCGAACAACTTCAAGACCATACCAATGATGAGGTCTACCGGATTGCCTATGATTTCATTGCTCAATTCTTCAGCGATACTGTAAGTTTTGTATTAGCTTAATTGTTTCCGAATTAATGCCTTGGTTAACCTGTTAGTTATGCTAATGCCTGTAACAGTGCCTCTTATCTCAAATGACTTCCTACTTCCAGGACGAAGCTGCTGGTACTGAAGCTGCAAATTGTGAGCTGAATCAAACAGGCAACACAGTCGTCCCGGCCCGTGACTCCAACGAATTTCATTTCCATCCTCAGCAAAATAATCCTGGTGGTGCGAATTTCGAGTTCTGACCAAGTTCTAAGCTAAGGACTTGCTAAATCAAACTAACCACGGACATGCGATACTTTAATACTCTAAACAGTGTTTCAGTAAATAACTTGTGGTCATAAAGTGTGTTCTTATGTGCCTTTCAAGACAAACAAGCAATCGGGAAAATTGGCCGAGGAGGGGATCCACCTTCCCTCTGGTGGTCAAGGCCACTTGTAATTGTTCTGAAGTTCCATAAGTCGACGTTACCACAGCCCGGAGTGGATCTGGTTGTTGAGCAATCCCGCGAATATTGTTGTCAAGGGTTGTATTCTATGGGAATGAGAGCTCCGGTGAGGCGTGGAAGCATATTAGTCACCCAGATGTATGACACTGAGTACCTCTGCAGCAAGAGGTCGTCTAGCATGGGACACCTTCTAAACCTAGTACAGTCATATGGGGTGTCTGCAATTAAATTAGAAGACTAATGTGTGTTGTGCATGAAATTTACAATGTAACGCATCTTGAGCGCAAGACCTAAGGATGATTTGGAGTTGCGGCTGTGAAGTAAGGAATTATGCTCAAATTAAGGCGCTGCTGGGTTTTTACTCGCATAATCAAGGCAGTTGTATGGCATAGAAAGCATGTATTGGGGATATTGATTAAAGAACGGCCCGTAAAAGGATGTGCAACGAACGTGTGGTCACTTTCGTTGAGACTTGTTTGTGTTCCAGAGGAAGTATTTTCCGGTTCTACGGAGGGAATCCTTAACCTCTCGTCGGTCTTCAAGCCATTTCGCTTTCACACTAGCAGGGTCGGCAATAGAAAAATACTCGTCTCCAAGGTTAGCAAACGAGAAAAATGAAGTCTGGGGCTGTGTACGTTTTTCTTCAACGTCCTCAACCGTTCCAGCGTCTAACTCCTGCCAATATTTCGCTTGTTCAGTGATGGCAAAGTCGAATGCAAACGGGCGTTCCCTAGATTCATGTGAGGTCAAAAATATGATTACTCATTGGCCTGCTCGCTAAGCATGCTATACAATTTTATTCTGTTAGGACGAGTTAATGCCCTTTCAAAACAACAAACTGATTCTGCGTAGGTCCGAAATCACAACTTGAGCTACCCGCCCGAACAAACAACACGACCAAACGAATGATCCCCGAGACATTTCGTTTAAGAAGCTACGCGATAGGTTATAGAAGAAAGTAGATTCAATGTAGACACATTGTACTTGTTAAATAGTGAAAACTACTTTAACAGTTTGCGTGCCAATAATATGAGTTAAAAAGATTTTTGGCTGTCAGAATACTGGTTTTGAAATAAAAACAAAAGTGACTAAATATATTATGTGCAACATATAAAGTTCAGCTTTGTCTCTAAGTGGTTAGTCAACATATCCCCCCCATAATTGTAAGAAGGCGAAGTTATTTTTAATGTTTCTTTACTAACGTGCGATAAATCGCTGCGACTACAAGATTTTATTCAAAACGCGTAGCAAGACATCATTCGAAGTGGCCATGATAGTAGCTGAGGAGGGGAACCGTCCATCTAAGGCAGTTTCGGTGCAAAATCAAGTGATAAAAATTGTCATCAGTCAGAAATAAGCGTCTAGTTTACATTCTATTGCACGAGAAACTGGGATCTCCTGATAGCTTTAGCAATTCAGTTACCTATCTTGGAATGAGGTTTCATGGCCTATTTTTATACCATGGTTATATGTAAATGGCAATCATTTCGGGGATTTATTATCACCATTATGATTATCCAAAGTGATCAAAAAGAAGAGAGACAGTCATATTTAAATACTCTAAAATTTAATGTCTTAATGATCAATATCAGTGTATTTAAAACAGAGAACTGTTATTAAGTAAATTAAAGGTTGTGCATCAACAAACAATTAATCATTTTAAGCCTTTTTCATGAATCTGATACATATATTTCGAGTTTAATGTTTCGTCTTTCATTAACACAAGTTAAGTGAAAAAATATCCCATAATTATGCGCGAAGAATTGGCATATTTAAAACTATGACGCAAAGTTACACTTCAAAAGCCTACGACACCTCATTACAGTTTTGCTGAATAAATCAGGTTCAGCAAAGTATTGTTAGGTGTCGATTAAATGTCATCAAAAATATATGCATTTTATTTAATTAAAATATCGTAGGTATAATGTCAAAGGCTGATATGGGCTGATATCCAAGACAAAATGAAAACGTTTAAATGAGCTTTGCATAACATTACAAGGAAAGGTTTCTTTGTGAGACAAGAGAATAAGAAACAAGTACGTAAGTTGTCAAAACTGGTAGATTAGTAGGGCACTGAACATAAATACTTTGTACAGTGCACATTCACTGAGAATGGTTCCACTGTAAAAATTATCCCCTGTTTCTTGGTAATTTCCGAGTCTTGCAATTCTCTGAATAATCTTTCATGCAATTGTCAGTATAATATTCCTAATCTGGTCGCAATCTTTCAGGCTATGAAGGAAGAACTCTTCAAACGCTTTAGGGAGGTGACTTTTAAATTAATTAATGCAATATCAATAGGATTCAAATCGAGTTTACTTAAGACAAAAAAATAACATTTTGTTCATGGTTAGTTTTTTACGTATCGAAACAGGATCACCTTCGCTAAGAAAATCCCTCTCGTAGTGGGAGTGATCATACAAAAAATCTTAGCAAAATTATGAAAATTACCTCTCATGCCCCTCAAGGAAACTTACCATACCAACTGGCTTCGTATTGTTTTTTTTTTAATGTAACAAATAATATTATATTAAAAAAACTTGCTTTGTTATTTTTTCAGTCTTTCAACGCATCTATTTCTGTGCACTGAAACTCGGAATTACCGGCTGAAATATACGAAAATTTACCGCAATAAAGCATACTTTTACTTCTTCGCTTGACACAATTTTAACATGATTAGAGTGGTCTTCATTAGGATATTGACGATGTTATTTTGGGGAACGACTAAAACAATAGGTGGTTATCGCCTACTTCTGTGTGAATCATGGTGATGCTTAATGCCACAAATCGTATCTTAATTTCCAATTTGGTATCTCAATATTGGATGAGTGTGAAACCCAACGCCCAGTTGGTTTAGAGATCTAGAAGATCTATTGGATTAGTATCATGAAAATTGGTCAGCAAGGTTAAATTAGAAAATGGACTGAAATTTATGCGATGGTTACACTAGCAAAATTTCCAATTATAATTATTAATTCACGTTTAATATCAATGTTAGATGTTTTAAGTGCTAAGATCTCGCTATCTTCAACGTAAAATGTTTTTACAATTTGGGAAATTCGTCTATTTTAACTTCCAATTATTCTTACCATCCATATTTTGACCTCCCAGTCTATTTTGCACCCATGGTTTCGGTCGTTTAGTGCAATGACACGATAAAACAAACATTAAGGCTAGAGAAGGTCAATATTTTCCCAACCGATTACGAGCAGAATGAATTTTGTTTGTTCAGGCATTTGATGCAGGGGGTTTGTTTGTAAGCAGTAAAGTCCAATTTTACAGTCAAAATACCTGGGTTGTTTCTTGTTTTAGACGTTTTGCCCTAGCTCCATGGACAAACTGTCTTTGTTAAAAATACATGAGCCCCCAAGTATTTCGATCAATAGGGTCTTATTGGGTGCCCAGTAGAATTTCGCGAAAGATTTTTATATTTCTATCAACAAATTCCATATATTGGTGCACACAAATATATTTCATTACAGACATCGATTTATCCGCCTTGTTTTCATTCCGCTTGACCAAAATATGCTATATCAACTGAAATGCGACTTGGAGTTTTACTGTGAGCATTTGGGAAGGGCATGATGGACGACCAAGACTGAGCTGGGAGATGAGATCGGCGTGGTGACGGTTGACAGTCCTAAGGCCATGAATAGTTGGTTGCATTAAATATGAAGCACTTACACGTTTTTTTTGGCTTCAGAAGCTTGAGCGCCCTCCCAGAAAAACTGGATTATAACGGGTGACTAATTATATCGATAATTCGCGTATTTTAAGGCTTTCCACATCACACTTTCAGGTTCCTGCGTTGTGTTACAGGGTCTTCCCATTTCTTAAATTTGCGTTTCTGCAGCCCACTTCATCTTTAATACTTGAGCGTTGCGAACACCTAGCACACGGAGTCACGTATGATAGGAAGTGTTCATTTATTTTGCTACGATTTTTGAACTGTGTATGCTCGAGGATATCGATTTTCAGTGACCCTTACGTTGCCATGATTACACAAATAATGACCGGACTACAATCAGGCAAACGCTTTGGTAGGTTGAAAGTTCTTCACTTCAAATAGCATGGTGGAACGATCAACCTTGTTCATTATAAAAAAATTAATAAAAATTGCGTTTAAAACGTTCTTTTTTTGATACGGTCTATTGGGAGTGATGGCACGTCGTTAATCAAAGTAATCAAAAAGTCTTAGCCAGTTAATTGGAAAAATAAACACATCAATTACCAGAGACGCAAAATAATCACTCATAGTGCATCTGGCTTATCGCAGCAGCCGTCTTCTGCACCGGATCATTACGATGTCGCAATTAGCTCCAATCTCTTTATCAGGAGCCTGCATAACGCCAAATGTAATTACATGTTGAGGGCTTCGGCTCTAGGCTCGAGACCACATGCCGGAGCTCGACCGCTCCACACACCTACCCGGGAAGACAAAGAAGACCCAAGATGACAGGCACACATGTATTCAAAGGTAGTGCATGACTAATGTAGTTGTTGACCAAAACAGTCTGGGTGACCTTGAAAAGGTACAAATGGCCGAACGGCGAGATGAATTAAACAGCTAGTGTGGGGGAGGCACAGGCACAGGGGGGTGAATGAGCAGGCGGCCCCGCGTGACTGACGAGCACCCTGTGAAAAGGGGGCGGCGTATGAGAGTATGCGACGACCGGGTTGATGGTCGTGAATCAACACGACTCACTACCAACCTATCTTGAATTAAAAAGAAGGTAAAATAGCAAATTTGAACCCAGGGTTATGATTTATTAAAAGAATAAATGTTGGACAAATTTCGTTAATTCGGAGTGACATTAGTAAATCCAGGTTCAGGACAGGCTAAATATCCATTGGCTCACGCATACTTGTTGGCTGGTAGTCGCCACACGGCGCTTCTGGAGAACAGATTTAATCTGCTGGTTTCACATAACGCATGGTCTTATAGGATGCCAGCTTTTCAAGGATAATAAATAAATTGGTTAAAAAATACAAAAAACAGAGTCTGGTTGCGGTACTCAAAAGTTGGACATTTCGAAACGCCCTTTGCTCCCTAAAATCACAAGGTCTTTGTCATGTGGAGGTGGAGTCGGGACCGTACTCATCGCTCATGCTGCAATATTAAATTGGAAACATTTTATGTCCAATTCGGATGGACTGTGATGGGTCTTTCAGAAAACATTGATAAGCTAATATTGATTATTGGCTCAGCAGTAATAGTAAAAATTAGGTTGTGCAAAGTTTGTAAATGGAAATATTATTTTAAATAAGATGAGTAGATGGCAATTAAGGACTTGAAAACGCGCAATGACAATCACGTGTCTTTTACACCAAGAACATAGCCTAGAATAAGGTGATTCCCAACTGGAAATTTCGACCGGTCATTTAGACCTAAATAAGCGGCTCTCAGAAGATATGATTCTGGTACTCAACTTGTATCAAAAGACAGTGTGGCTAGCATAAAAGAATTATGAAGAATTCAATCAGAAATTCTGCCAAATTAACCATAAATTTGGCACCATTTGAAACTCTGTCATTGCACGTGAGAGCACCGAAGACGAGATGGCCAGTTTTGCTGTTTCTCGACTAAAAACACTCCTGTCTGTAACTAACGGCAGAAAATCCCATCACACCAGTCTCATCGGTTTGCGATTAGCCAATCAGAAAATCAGTTGTATGTGTTACGTAACCACACCCTACTAAGTCCCTAAAAGCACGTTTTCCGTGGTTCGTTAGGCAGCATGACGATCAAAAATAAATCTACCTAGATCATTTTAAGTCTGTCTAGAGAATTAACGAAAGCAAGTGTGAACAAAATTTCAGCCAACAACTGAGTTAAAGGTGTCTTTTCCAGCTTCAATGTGAAAAAAGGAGGCGTGTAATTTTTTCGCCGAGACGAGTTCTCATTTAGGCGTTAAAAACATCTCCTCATTTTCGGCAATTGCATTAACTGTCAAACCTAAGGTTTTGATGTTTAAAGATCCCTAAAGTATAACTGCTAAGGTCTGAAGTAGGGTTACTGAAGTGACAATGAATAAATCCTCAGGGTCCGTTGAAAAAGCATGAAGGCGCTGCCGTGTCAGTAAAATACGTCCTGGTGAACATGAGTTAAATCATAACCGAAATGGTTTCCACAGATTTTCGGCTAAATACATCGGCTATGAGATTAGTCTCCGATACGAGTTAAAACCGAGCTACCAGACAGGCTAAAAGTGAGTCCACGGTCCAAAAAAATTGACAAATCAGATCAACGTGTTTAAATGTAGGTGTCACGGATATTTTGGCATTATCTATTATCTAAGTCAACTAAATACGACAATACGACTAAATACGGCAAAAATTGTTATAAGAATCGGTCAGCCACATAGTCATTTAAATCAGAAACGATTGTTACACTGAAGAATAGTTAAAAAGGGACACATAAAATAAGAATAATATTAATCGAATTGATGTGTGGAAATTTGAATTAATGCTCCCGAAAGTTCAGGAAATGTTGCATAAAGGAGAATAATTTACGAAGTCAACCAAGTATGGTTATCGGAGTTTTTGGCTTCAGTAAGTTCACTAGAGGGGCCGGAACTTGCGAATCGGATGTTTTCTGGGTCATTCCACTATTTTTAACACAGCAAAATATTAGATTTTAGAAATTCAGTTCAATGGATTTGCATCATCCCGAAAAATTGCCGAAATTCAAAATTTACCTTGAAATTTATTGGTTGTCTGCCAACCAATAAGAAGAGTCTAACGACCCCGGTGAGTCACGAGCTCATCTGTGATAGGCTACCTCCAGATGAGCAAGAATAAATACTTCCTGCATTCGGCCTGGCAGTGGTAAACATGGGACTGAACTGTGCTTGCTCGAGGAAAAGCGGTAGTAAGGACATTTGCACGCCCACAGGGGATTCAGGCAAAGATGATTTGGGCACCGATGGCTCCAAAAAGGAGACTGCACGGGTTTTGTGGAGTAGACCGGTAGAATTTATACTCTCACTCATTGGCTATGCAGTCGGCCTTGGGAACATCTGGCGATTTCCATACATTACCATGGAGAATGGCGGAGGTGAGTGCTGGATCTCCTATGCGTTCCATGTTTTGCGGAATTCTCTTAGTGGCTTTTATACTGATGCATTCATGACGTAGTGTTTGTTTGGCTAGTTTAGCTACTCGTTCAAATACGAGTTGTGTGGTACTTGGTGGTTTTCGTGGACGTGTAACCTAATGTATAGCTGCTCGAAAATGCAATGTGCTGCGCACAGTTTGATACTTTAAATTTAATGGAGGTGCAATGAAGTTCCTTGAAAAAAACTGTTGCAAACAAAAAAATAAACCATTTTCTCGGAGACATCTGTAGAAATTCGCTTTTACTCTGACAGATCAACATATGTCAGTGGCATTTAGTGAATCCTGGTGTCGGAATTGAAACAACTATTTACTCCACCCGAACGCATGTTTCCAGTTCCAATTTTTAGAAACAGAGTCGTCACCTAATTTTTTTGTAATTTATGACTTTATCAGTAAGAATCCAGCTAGCGACCAATTACTACATATTTAGACAGTGATAGCGCTGTTTCTGTGTATTTTTTTTGTGAATGATCCGATGCAACCGAAATCCAACACCTAGCTGTCACAAGCCAAAACCGTGCTAAAAAAACATCGGATTAAGTCTGCACCTTGCAAAGTCCTGGTGATTTGAGCCACTGAGACTAGCGTTAAGATGTTATTCAAATGGTTGAAAAATTGTACGAATTGATGATGCATGAATAACAGAAGTTTGGTCCTCAGTCAACAGGTTTAAAAGAAAAATTGGCAGGAGGCTTTGGGAGATTTAGAAATGTTTTCAGCTAGAGATAACGGTTAAGCACCTGTGTTCCGCATTTAATCATAGGCCCTTATTCCCCTGAATCTAAAATCAGAGCAAAAGTTCAGGAATCTTTTGTTTTCAAACGCAGGAGTTAGAATGGATGAAAATGGCCATGAGTGCACATTACTTCCACAGAATCAGTTCCACCTCGAATTCTTCAATCAACGGCATGCAGTTTTGCTGATACATTTCTAGAGTCTCCAAGAGATTTCATACATAACTTGTTTCCTTTTCTTAATTAAGGCGCTTTCCTCGTCCCCTACATTATATTCATGCTCTTCTGCGGCATCCCATTTTGCTACATGGAGTTTACGCTTGGCCAGTTCACTGGGCTAAGTCCTGTGAAGGCATTCGAATTCGCACCCCTATTTAAAGGTAAATACTTTCCTCATAACTTAGCTACTACCTTATTGCGCATTACGCAGTCCGTCTGTTTTGTAGGACTGGGATGGGCAATGCTGATAGCCTCAAGTGTGCTTTGCATCTACTACAACATTGTCATGGCTTGGGTGTTTTATTACCTTGGCATGTCCTTCCGGTGGAATCTGCCCTGGAAGTCATGCAACAATTCTTGGAACACTCCAGCTTGCTTCAGCTATTCCGAAGTGGTAAGGGAGTCTGTACATCAGTGCGATTGCATCTTAATGATACTCGATTTTTAATTATTTGTGGTTAAATTCCAATGTACAAATTTTTGTTAATGTGGGCCGCAAGAGTCCAAAGTGGGCTTTGTTTGTGTGAAAATACCCGAGTATTTGCAACGATGCCTCGATTGACTGCTTGTGAAAGGTTGCACATCTTTGGTCTTAAACGTTGTGTCATCCTAATGCTTCAATTTTTAGTTCAATGCATCACTTCTTCCAGCGAATAGAACCAGTTCAACGATGGAATTCTGGGAGTAAGTTCGTTTTTGTTATTACAAACGCGAAATGAACTTTCTTGGGGGCCTCCAGTTGAGGCTTCGTGGCATTATAACGGGTTATATACTTGGCGGTATTTTTCAAGGCACTCCCTTAAAGAATACGTTGATACCACCTAAAATCACTTTCATTTAACAGAAATGTCACAATGAGGTTAATTGCCTTGTAAAAATAGATCATGAGCTTAGTTTAATACTTTTGAATATCATAAACGATGGTTATTTTAAGGTCCCATAGTCAAGTACCAAGTGGTTCTC